CAACCTTAGGCAAGAAGGAAAGGCAAAATTTCGCCGTCCCCTATTTCACTGGCATTTGAGGAAGCTGTTATCTACCACAAAGGCCTGAGTTACAGGAAACATATGAGACAAAAGAAAAAAGTCTTATACCTCAGATTTTTAAAAAGGAGATAATACAGAATTATTTTTTACTTCAATAATATACAAATATCTCCTACTTGAAATCAGCAAGCTACCTAGAGGAAATCAATTTTTAAACAAGAATTCACAATAAGATGTTAATAAATGATAAAATCTGCATTCTGCATCTCAGCCTTATCATGAATTTCATGCTTCAACCTGAACTGCTCCTGTTTCCCAGATGCTCTGCTCCTGTACTTCTGTTATGCACACTCATACCTCTGCCCCCTAAGCCCCCACTGTTTTAGGCTCCAGATGTTGTCTCCTCTTAGTAGCTTTCATTTCCCTCTCAGGAGAAAATTAGCAACTCCCTGTGTCCTCACAGCACTATGGGGAGACCTCCTTTACAACATGAAGTCGGTCTTCTCATGAGTTCATCTTCTGCAAACTGGCTACCAGCTCCTTGAGAAGAACCATGTTACGTACACATATTATTTTTATTTCCAAGAGCTAGCAGTGAGGCTAGCATATTCCAGAATAATGATAATTACTATAGAAAACATTTATTGGTCTTCTACTCTATGTTGCACAGTTCAAAGCAGGTCACATGCATTATTTCATTTAATCCTTAAAACAGACATTTTGTGTGGGCTCTAGCATTACCCCCTTTTAAGATGGAAAACTGCCGCACAAAACAAGCAGAGCTAGGACGGTGCGTGACTACAAAGGAGATGACTCTGGAGCTGGGCAGTGCACAGCCTGTACACAATTAGCAATGGCCCTGTCAGCCAATGCTTTTAGAATAAATTTAAATGTTTAATTTAACTTTAGGCTTTTAGCAGATGTACAGGGTATCCCCCAAAAATGTATACACACTTTAACAGCTAATAGCTCAATTTTGAAAATGAAATGTATTTTAACAAACACTTCCTTTATAATTATTCAAAGTGCATGTATACATTTTGGGGGGATACCCTATATTTGCAATTCTAAAGAATAGTTTTACAGGTCTTAAACCAAAGAATATGTTAGGGGTACAAAGGGCCATCTGCCTAGTGTTCTTCGAAACATACTGACTAGATAAGCATTTATTCTTACAGAAAATTGTCATTAACATTGTTCTGATGACCAGATGGCCTAATGAGAATGACAAAACTAAAGGAGGCAATAGGACAGACTGAAGTCTAGTAAAGACTGTCTAGAAAACCGTACAAGGTCATCACTGTTACACTCCTCTCTACTCGCTAAGAAAGCTCTGATCCAAGCTTTCCATTCACAGGAAGAATTGAACAGGAAAATGCCTTTTTGCTACAGACATATGTAATGCTTATTGGCCAGATGAAGCTCTGTTAAAACAATAAAATCTTGCATGTTTTCATTTTCCAAAAATTATAGCATATGAGAATTTAACAAATGATATTCAACCAATAAAAATACATATCACATGATTTTGTGGCATTTATCTAAATTAGTATTTTGTGTTTTATCTCAGAATCAAATTATTAAAATAATCCCAAAATAAATAATTAAATTCTGCATTTCTCTTTTTTAAAGGACTTCAGGGAACATGTGTATCCTGTTGGGTGTAAATTACTTTTATCATGCCCGACTTTATGGTAAATGAAAGAGAAGGCCACTGTAACAATAAGAGGCTTGAATGCAGCAGGAGGAAATAGGCCATGAAGAATTAGTAACTTAAAATGAGTCAGAGTGAATTAGGATGGATTTACTGAATAAAATTCAATAATAATCTCATGTCCAAGGTCATATTCTAGCTCCACTGCTAATGAACTAACCATTGAACACAAATGTAGCACAGTTCATGAGCAATGATCAACAGTGAGTGTTACTGACCAAATCACAACCACAAAGGATGGCATTAGGTGGCATTAATAATCTAAGCAGGTTATTAAAGATGTGCTTTTTCTGCTAGGTTTATAGCACCTATGAGTCTCTAGGATGGACATCATTTCAAACAGTGGTTCAAGGATATAGAATAATCCTGGACTTAGGGAGACACCTACAGGTACAACAAAAAATTAAAACGAGAATCTGAGAACCAGAAAACCATAGCATTGTTTAAACAGGAAAATCAAAATGATTTTTCTTCAAAAGTATTTTTAAATGCTCAGGGCATTTTTCATAATGATATGCACAAATCAGATAATACCTTAATAACAAATCTATAGATACAGATATACAGATTTTTAAATTGTTCTCTCTCATGCTTAGGCTACTTATAAAATCAAGCTTTGTATAATGGTGTAAAGGATGGTCCATAATTCTTTTAAAATGAGGCAGAATTTAGCTATCAGTAGAAATAATATTATTATCACATCATCATGTTTTACTAACTTCCAAATAGCAACAAGTATATTTAGATACTCATTACTTCAGTAAGTTTTTTCTTCATTTAAAATAAAATATCCCTGATAAAATGAACATAGTCTACATTAGCAGACATTTATGCCTTAACATAAATAGTTTTATTAGGTCCCTTTCTTATTTTTTTGAAGGTTTCTGAGCAGTATGAAGTGGATAGGAATGTAGAGATACTAGCGGAGGGTGGTGGTGACACACAGCATAATTCTGTCTGTGGACAGACCTGGAGTTATTTAACAAACCTCCTCTCTCTCATCTCCCTTACCTGCACCTCCCTCCCTGAAATGGAAGTCAGAGCAAGGAGAGCTCATCCTGTTTCCTGTCGCTTGGTTACTGTCTCTCTCCTACTTCCTGCGGGTTTTGTTCAGAAAGGATGCCGCCTCGAACTTCTCCTCCACTTCCTCCACTGCTATTATATTTGTATAGCACTTAATGCTCCAATAAGTTGCAGGGAAAGGACTTTGATGTCTTCAGAGAACCCTAAAGAGACCATCCCAGTGTGCTTCCAACGCCAGAACAGCTTCCAAACCTCTGGTACTGACAGAAAGATCACTGGCACACAAATCTGTAATTTTACCTTTTCCTGCTTTTGACATTATTTCTGTGTAACGTCATAAAATCACTGCACATCCAAAAAGGCCAGAGGCCACTGCTGGGACCACCGCGGCCGGAGACTCGCCACCTTCCCCAGGAACGCCTGGGGCCCTCTCCCTGGGGCGGCGCGTAACCTCGCCCCACTCAGCCCCTCTCCCGAGTCTGCCTCGTGATCCCACACACACCTACCTCTCCCCAGTGTCCTTGCGGATGTCGAGAACAGCCTGAGTGCCAGCTGCACCAGCACCCGAGGGCCAGGCTTGGCGTGGCTGAGAAAACTCTGAACACCTCCCCTGACAAGGAAGAGGTCCCCTCCCCTGTGGGCAGCAATGAAAATGTTAAAACTGAAAAAAAAAAGTCCACAACTAAAATAGGTGGGGAAACATAGCAGATTCCACACAGCAAATACCTAATAATCAAGAGCCTTTTTAAAAAAGATTAAAGCCAGGTTCCATCCACTCAATCTTCTAAAAGAAGATCACACCCTCCACCTTTGCCGTCTCTGAGCAGCACTTAAGCAGACAGGTGTAATACTTAGAATTTCTCTATTCCATTATCCTAACAGTCCCGTGGCTCTAATCTCCAGTCTTGCCCCCATTAAAAGGCATCTCCCACACAGCTACTGTGTTAAAACACAAATCGTATCTGATCAGTTCAGTGGTTAAAACCCTTGTATGATTCTGTCTGAATCTACAGGATAAAGCTCAAATTCCTTAACTGTACAAGTTTCTATGAGTGACCTGGCCCATTTCCAGCTTTATGCCTTACCATTCGTTCTTCTTAAGTAACGGTAGTAATAATACAGTAGTAACAACATTTATAAAACATGCACCATGTCAAGACTGTCCTAAATACTTTTTATTGTGGTAAAATATATATCACATAAAGCTCACCTGATCAACCATTTTTAAGCGTGGCTTTAAGTACAGGCACGTTGCTGCGCAGCCATCACCACCATGCATCCCCAGAACTGCTTCGTCTTCCCGAGCTGGAACTACGCCCATTTGACCTAGCCATTCACCCGTCAGGGGCCCTGAGCTGCTTCAACCCTTTGGCCATCGTGAATGATGCTGCTATGAATATAGGTGCACAGGTACCTGTCTGAGTCCCTGCTTTCAGTTCTTTTGGATATGTACCCACAAGTGGAACTGCTGGGCCATTTGGTAAGTGTTTGTGATACTATTTCCCACAGTAGCAGCATTACCATACATTCCCACCAGCAATGTACAGGGGCTTAGTGGTAGGTAATTTTACGTCAACTTGACTGGCCAAGGGGTGCCCAGGTTAAATATTATTTCTGGGTGTGTCTATTAGGGTGTTTCTGGATGAGATTAACATTGAACTAGTGGATTTAGTAAAGGAGACTGCCCGCCCCAGTGTGTGGGCATCATCCAACCTGTTGAGAGCCTGAACAGAACAAAGGCTTCAGAGGAAGGAGGGATTCACCCCATTTTTTCTGGCCTCATGGGCTCCTTTCGTTCTCAGGCCTTCAGAATTTAACTGGATCATATCACTGCCTTTTCCAGATGTATATACCATAGCCCTTCTATACGCCCAGCTTACATCATCATTCTGGAGGAAGCCATAGTCACAACCAAAGCACTTTACGGAATACTCATAAATATCCTCACTCCTGGGTCCTGAGCCAAGCTCAGCAATCACAAAGTCACATGTTCATGCCCAGGAAGAAAGTAGAGTCAGACCAGAAGTATTCTGCGTTTCCCTCCTGTTTCAACCTTTGGGTCTGATTTAATACTCTTACCAAGGTAATCCTAATAGAATTTGGCTGAGAACCATAGCCACAATATAGTTCCCTACTAAATACCCACTATTTTTTCCAAGGTAGATGTAATTATTTTACTCATATATGGATTTTATTTTCTGGTGCTCAAGTCAATATAATGCTAAATTGAAAATGGGACTAGTCAGATTTTTTAAGGTACAATTTAATTCTTAGAATAGAAAGTAAATAGATTTACAAGTGATATTTCAAAAAACAAGTCATGATTTTTTTAAAAGAATACCTTTGTCTAGAGTTTCTGGTAAAGTACTGAGCATGTGTTATTGAGAGTTTTTGCGGACAATTCTTTTAAATTGTCCATACAATTTAAAATTTTTTGAAATTGTACATACACACTTACAGCATGACAACATTCTTATCAGTCAGGTGTTTTAATGTAAAGCTCTCAGGAGAACGTGTATCAGCTATTGAACTAAACTGAAAATATATTCTTTGATCATCGCTGAAAGAATATTTTAGTAAAAAGCTGAAACGGAAACTGGATGTTACATGGATTGCTGCTTCTTTTCCAAGCACTTCTCAATATCATCAAGCACTTGAACAGCGGCCTTTGGAATTCGTGTCCCAGGACCAAATACATTGGAAACACCAGCTTCAAACAGAAATTCATAGTCCTGTTGAAAGAATTTGTTCAATTAATAGAAACAATATTTTTAACTTCAAGGAAATGAAACAAAAGAGCAGTACTTACTTTTCTTTCTTCTTTGTCCCCAAGGCCCCAAACTTTCTCCGCTGGCGCACTTGGCATTTGGGGCTGAAAAATTCTTCCTTGGCTAGGACTGCTAATAGCCACCAGCACCACCCTTACACTCCAAGTCATTAAAAGAACAAACACATTTGGCCCATTTTCCAAACACTCCAGTGTGTTGTCTGTGGTAAGAGCTATAGGGCCCACTGCTTGAAAATGCCTGAGCGCTAAACCACAATTTTCTCTCACCTAAATTTTCACTACTTACCATTATTTATGCTAAATTTAGTATCCCATAGCTTTGAGTTTACAGGGCTATTTATTTTCTCCAAGGTATTTTGCAGCTAGTGAATGGTGGTACTTTCAATATGGCTTCATGATGGAATCAGATTTCTTATAAATGAAGATTAGCTCATTTTTTAAAACTCCCCTGTTTTTTGAAGCTATTACTTGTTAGTTTATTTTAAACATAGTCAAAGTTTGAGTGAAAATGTTGCCAGGACACAAATACTCCTCCAGGCTTCAGGCTGTTTCAATGTTGGAATATCTATTGCTATAATATTGAGTTTAGGAAATGCTTTAAAGACCTTTAGTGATCCTCAATCACTAGGGGAGTTACGTATTCTAGGACATTCTGGTTTATGCTATTGCAGCACCCTTTTTCTTTTTTCATTAGCCTTTTTCTTTAAATTGAGGTATAACTGACATATAACATTATATTAGTTTCAGGTGCATAACAATGATTTGATATTTGTATATACTGTGAAATTATCACAATATATCCAGCTAACATTCATCATCACACAGTTACAAAATTGTGTGTGTGTGTCTGTGTTGAGAACTTCTAAGATTTATTCTCACCCGAGGATATTTTTCCTGGGTAGTATGGCTCAGGTGGTTAGAGCATCATCCTATAGACTGAAGGGTTGCAAGTTCGATTCCTAGTCAGGGCATATACTCAGGTTTTGGGTTCAATCCCCAGTAGAGGCACATACAGGAGACAACAAATCGATGTTTCTCTCTCTCCTCCTCTCTCTTCCTTTCTCTCTAGAATCAATGAAAAATATATCCTTGGGCAAGGATTGAAAAGAAAAGATTTATTCTCTTAGTAACCTTCAAAAATACGCAATACAGTATTTTTAACTATAGGCACCATGCCATACATTACATCCCTATGACTATTTTCTAACTGGAAGTGTGTACCTTTTCATTCCCTTCACCCATTTCACCCACCCTCCGCCTCTGGCAATCACCAGCCTGTTCTTCCACGTATAATTGAGATCATATGGTGTCTGTCTGTCTGTCTGACTTATTTCACTTAGCATAACACCACACTCAAGTGTTGTTGCAAATAGCAAGATTTCATTCTTTTTATGGCTGACTAACATTCCATTGTGTATATATACCATATTTTCATGGAGATGTGTGTTTTTGTTTTCTTCAGATAAATGCCCAGAAGTGGAATTACTGGATCATATGGCAGTTCTATTTTTAACTTTTTGAGGAACCTCCATACTGTTTTCTATAGTGGCTGCACCAATCTATATTCCACCAATAGTGTACAAGTGTTCCCTTTTCTCTGCATCCTTGCCAGCACTTGTTATTTCTTGTCTTTTTTACAATAGCCATCCTAACAGGTGTAAGGTGATATGCATTTCATTGATGATTAGTGATGTTGAGCACCTTTTCATGTACCTGTAGCCATCGGTATGTTTTCTTTGGAAATGTCTATTCACATTCTCAACACATTTTTTAATCAGACTCTCTGGTTTTTGCAACACCCTTTTTAATAGCACCCATTGACATTCTCAAAAGTGATCATATTTGCATGGTAAATTACATTGTCATGCTAATTATCCAGCTATTTCTTTTCTATCTCTATTATTTCCTTATAATATTCTTGTAATACTATAATTCTGCAGTGGCACTTAGCCCATCTTACTGAACTTCTCTCCTGGTCTATGAACTTCTAAGGACAGAGATCATGTCTAATCATCTTTATATCCTCAGCATGTGGCACACGGAGGTGCTTAAAATGTGCCATTGTTCTTGGGCAAGTGCTATAGATTTAAAAGTTCAGAAGAAAACTTGATAAAACAGGTAATAGCAATTACCTCCAAATTGGGGGTGGTCAAATTGGTAGGTTATCTTCCTCTGTCTTTCCTAACAGTGCTGTGTGTCATTTGTCCTGGCACCTGAATTACAGATTTGGCATGGAGGGCTGAGCTAGGAGAGGCCTATGGGACGCTGGCACTGGAGAAAGGCTCCCGGTTTGTCTAGGCCTCACACAAGCCTTGAAAATGTGCTCTAACGAGAATAAAACACCAGAGACAGTGGGTCTGAGCAAAGTGTGCGCCAGGGCTCTTTGTACCATTTCCACTTCCTAGCTTACTATTAGTTTCAAATTCTTTCTAAATAACAAGTTATTATTGTAAAATGCCCTGCATCGAGCTGGGCCAGGCATATCGCATTGGTGCTTCTTGATGGAAGTGGGCAGCCTGAGGCTGCTAACCCTGCCCACAATACCTGGAAGCCACTGCTGTAAAAAGGGCTAGACGATCCTGACGGTAGTTACACACACTGGTGAGAGCAAACCACATTTCTTTAATCAGTGGAAGAAACTATAAGCTCCACAGTGGCAGTGGCTAAATCTCTGATTAACCACCATATATTAGTGCTATCTAACTTAAAATCTAAGCATCTTTCAATCAAATAACATTTTACATATTTACTGCAAACAATATGAAAAATGCACGGGTGTTGACTGCTATAATTACATTATAAAAGGTAACCATATTGACACTCAAGTGTGTCACTACAGAAAATGAGACTTAGCCTTTAAACTCATGAGGAAAAAAGTACAGCAAACACCTACAGATGTTCCCAGTGATTCAAATATCCAGAGAGTTAATACAACTTTTGTGAAATATATTTCTTGAAAATGTCAGCTTACTCATAAAACAAGCCTGTGTTTTTTTTCTCAACTCATATTTCAATTCCATTATTTTGTGCTGCCTAATTATGTTGGTTCTTAAATTTTAATATCATGCCCAAGAGCTTAGATATTAGTCTCTAAAACTGCATTATAGATAGAAGCATTCCTTTAATAGATAGCAATAAAGAATAAAATCTCTTTATATCCCCAAATAGTAAACTATATTTATGAAAAAATAGGTAAGTATGTTAACAAAAGCAATTTGTGTTGGCTATATTACCTTTAAGTACTGTGTCGTTAGAAAGAATAAAACATATACAGCTTGTTTACTAGCCCCACGTTATTACCAATCTCATAACCTCATACATATGTATTTTCTCATTTTGTAAGTACTCTGTAAAGTCACTATTTTATATTCTGAGTTGTAATGGAAATAAAAACATTGTAGACTGGGACATAAGATCCCATTTCAGTGACAGATTCGTGCTGTAGTGGTGGGGCTTTGTAGCATCTGTAAATCATTTACTTAGAGCAATGTTCTTGTATACAGTTCTTCTATCTCGATATTTTTTCTCAGTAAAAAAAAAAGATAGAGAACTCTGTATAATTAAAACCTGGATTGGAAACAGACCCAATTTATATCTTTACTAATTATTTTAACTGACAGGTAAGCTAATATGTGGAAGGTGTCCCCCACCCCATTAGTAAATTAACTGGCATCATCAATGGGTAGGTAGCACCCGTTTCTCCCTTCCTAAGAGGATCCACATTTTTGTTCAAGAATCTACCTCTTCCCCATTTGGCCAATAATTTTCAGGACAGGCTGTTCCATTTACATCTGAAATATGATATTTTTGGCTCAAAGAGAACTATACCCCAATCAAATCAGCTTTAGTAAAAAGGGGGTTTTATAAGACCATGTAACTGATACAGCTCTGAGTTAGGGCAGCATTCAGGGATGGGAACATGGAGGAAATGGACAAGGTAACTCCTCTAAAACAACATACGCAAATGCTGCCAACTGGCTAACTAAGGACTCACTCTACCACCAGGCCAAGGAGTGCTCACTCTGTCTCTGGTCGCTGTATGCACAGTGTGGTTACCATCCTTCTCTATTCCAGCTGTGAGACTATTACTTTATCCTGTTCCTTCTCCATCGTGTTCACTGAATATAAAAAAAGTAGATCTCTATTTGGGTTACTAGTTTGCAAGAAGATAATTATAATTCTCTCATAGAAGCTCTGTAAATTGTCAACTTAAATTATACACATGAATTGCATATAGCTTGAATATAAAACAACAGTGCCCACTTTTGGACTTTGCAGAACTTAGTAAAATCCCCAGAAAATTATTTGGCTCAAATTCTACAACAAATTGATCTTCGGGAAAGGTGTACAGTAAATTAAAGAACTACCTATAAGCTATTGTTACTTAGGATTCACATCATAGTAATAGAAAAATATAGATGATGAAAAATACCTGTGGTGGTATCACCCCTCCGCACATGACAAGAATATCTGGCCGTCCAAGGGAGTTGAGCTGTTTGATGAGCTCAGGAACAAGGGTTTTGTGACCAGCAGCGAGTGTGCTCACACCCACAGCATGCACATCTGCGTCCACAGCCTGCTGGGCCACTTCAAGGGGAGTCTAAACAATTACAAAGTAGAGAGACAAATCATCATTTACTCCAGAAAGTGTTTTAAATGTTATCTACTTAACTGACATTCCAAGATTTTACTCATTAAAAATCTTGAGTGAATAAAACTTCCTATTTCATCATTCTCAAATCATAAATACCAACTCATCTAACTGATGCAATGAACACCAGTGCAGTATTTGCTTCTAGCACTAGAATTTATCAGATTTAAGCTACACCAAAACACGTTACCTCTTCATTGTAATTTTTAAAAACTATACCTGTTGTCCTCATTATCAACATTTATTGAGTTGTTGTGCAGTACAAGGCAATCTATTATAGTATCTATGAAGAAGCAAAAGACTAAGTATAAAATGCACCTGGTAGATGAGCAGTAAATATGTAGTGGATAAAACTTTTAATATAAAAGTTATTACAATTTACTCCTCAACCAAAGATTTATTTTGGAGTGAATGATTAATGCCTCATCACTCTATAGAGATTTTCAGCTTCCTTTACTTCCAACAAATTATTATTCTGTGATCAAATAAAATACTACGAGAAAGTAAAAAAGAGAAAATCTTAATTATGAACTGAGCTCACTCTGATGCTTGATTTCCCTTTTAAAACACTTTCCACCAATCCAATGTGGGCTACCTTTCCCAAAAAATAATAGTCACATCTTAATAAGTAGTACAGTAAGGTACTTGAAAGTAATCTTTGCAGTTTTAGAAGCCTAATAAAAGTTATAGTTCAGAACTGACAATTATTTTTACAAAGTCTGATTAACAAGTACATTAACATGAGTTATATTTTATTCTTATTTCTGTCCTAATTAGATTATATGCATTCAAAAATAAATTAGGAAATTTGTTGAATTCAAGTTCTTCCTTTACAGCTTTAAAACATCATCATGGCCTGGCCAGCATGGCTCAGTGGTTGAGCATCGACCTATGATCCAGGAGATCAAGGTTCGATTCCCAGCCAGGTTGTGGGCTCGATTCCCAGCCAGGTTGTGGGTTCAATCCCCAGCAGGGAGGAGAAGGAGGCAGCTGGTCAATGACTCTCTCTCTCCCTCTCCCTTCTCTCTCTGAAATCAATAAAAATATATTTTAAAAAAACAAAAACACATCATCATGGTCTATTGTGTTTTCATTATTTTTCTACATGTGATTTATGACATACTTTTTAAAATTTCCCCCAACAATTTTCAGTACCTGAAAAAGAGGACCAATGTCCACATCAAAACCAAGATCAGCAAATCCTGTAGCTATAACTTTTGCTCCTCTGTCATGTCCATCTTGTCCCATTTTTGCCACAAGAAGACGAGGTCTGCGACCCTCACGGTCCATGAATTGATGAACCCTAGGCAACATTTTAAAATACAACAGTTACATATTAATTGTCCAAAGGTAGGTTATTAAAACTACAATTTATTCGCAACAAATCATTCAAGTTTATTTAAAAGCACCTGTTTACTCAAATTTTGTTAACATCTCTATTTTACCTTGAGAACCCCAGTAATGCCTGAATATGTTTACCACTGTTCCCCTTAGAGGGAAGTTTGAAAGATGGCATAGCCTGTAAGCCCATAACCCTGAGAGCATCACAGTGAACCAAGATGATAAAATAACTACTTTTCATCTTCTGAAGCCAATCCCCAGAGTATTGCATATTAAATACTGAAGATATTAAATATAAACTAAAAAGTGCCTTTCAGAGTTATTTAAACACATATGTGATTCACTAGCTGTTGTGAACTGTCCATATACCTCCCCTTCACAAGTGTGAACTCGCCCAAGCTGACTGCAATGTGGTGTCTTATAATGACATTTAATCAAAATACTTGCTTACTTAAATCAATAAATTTATACCCCACATGAAAAAGCACTACATTTATTTCTGACAAAAGGAAAAAATATTCCATTCTGATGACTTTCACCTTTGCTGTTTTGGTATTTATCTCATATATAACTAGTCACATAAAAATTTTAGTGGGGACTTTATTACCAAGTTTGATAAAACCAATCATCAGGAAGCTACTTCTTACATTTGAGAAGCATGATCAATTTATATTAACTTATATTTCCAAATCATGTTTGACAGTGCAATTACTGTCAGTTCAGTGAGGACTGATTTTAGTTAATGCACAGAGATGGCAATCAAATATTTACTTTCAAATAGGAAAATTAAGATTTTATAATTATTTGAGCAATTAATATAAATAAACTTGAGAAAATATAAAAGTATTTTAGTGCTTTAGTAAGGAGAGTGAAATTTAAGTACCTGGCAGATATGAAGCAACATCAATGTTAGTTAAACATCTGTTTGAAATGAGAAACTACTAAAGGGGACTTTGGTGAAAGTTCAAAATATTGTTTTAGTAAAACCACAGACTAACAGGAAAGCCAGTTTACATATTTTCCAAAGGATATGTGAAGAAATTAAGCCTGCAGTAGATGCATGGGGATTGTGTAAACTGAAAAGATGATATGCTGGTATAAGAAATTTCACATATTACCTCTTGATAGCAAATGATATCTCTTTACTTTCTCCAAATTCCTGGCGATAGGCTCCGCTCACCATCCGATCATTAGCTTTGTGTTCACCAAATACCTTTTTCATGGCATCTGTGATTTCTCCAACTGTACATCTAAAATATCACAGGGAAGTTCTGTTAACATCATTATTTGAAATAAAAATATTTAGTTACCTTAATATTCAATATAGTTAGACATATTTTATTACTTACGTAAAAAATAGGCTGTCAAAAATCTAAATAAAAATTTTTACTCTATCATAAAAGTATCTTTCCTCAGAATACTTATAAAAAATGATTTTGGATGCCTTTATATACAGTAAACTCTTTTCAACATTTACCAATCAAAAAAATGACTGACCTAAAAACTATAAAATAGATAAGCATCTAAAGATTACTGAATAATTCACCATGATATAAATGTGGAAAGAGCAAGATTCCCTCTGATATTTTTTAATAAAAAGCCAACCTTTTAGCATATCCCAACCATCTGTTTATTAATTCATTCAACATGTACTGAGTATCTAATATGAGCCAAGCACTGGTAAGTGCTAGAAATACACTGATACATAAGAAAGAAAAAAAAAGAAGTACCTGTTCTTATAGAGCTTATCATCTAGTCAGAGGACACAGACAAAACACAAGCAAACAAATAATAAGATAATTTCATATGGTAATAAGTACTACAAAGGCACTAAAGTAGGCAAAATGGAATGGGGTGGCTGGGAAAGCAATTTTAAAGATATTGAAGATATAAAGACTTTTGAACTAGGATGTATGTAATGAGAAAGAAAACATAAGGGGAAGAGTATTTGAAAAATGAAACACTACATGCAAAGGCTCTGAGAAGTAGAGAAACATGTTTTGCATTCTAAAAATAGAAAGGACACTGAGGACACAACATAGTGAAGGAAGTGGGATAAGATAGGGTCAGAGAGTTGGGATAGTCATACCTAGCTTGGTAAGATTAGGTTTTAATCTATAAATAAATAAATAAATAAATAAATAAATAAATAAATAAATAAATAAATAAATAAATAAATGTAATGGGAAACCATGGGAGGGATTTTAAGCAGAGAAGTCACCTTCTTTTAAGAAGTTAAAACTGGAAGAAGAAAAAAAACCCAATCCACATACTATTTACCCCTTAAGCACTTAAAACAATGTTAAAAATAGTTCATTATCTTAAGCAATAAATAATAAAAACAAAAATAATGTATTTAGTGACATTACCAAATACTGGGAGAAAAGTTTCTGTGAGTCACTCGCTTTCTCCACGACAGGGCACTGGCTGCCCTTTATCCTAGACTCTTTTCAAAGATGTCCACATAGTGAATAGCCTTGGAAGACAGGCATACATGTAGTCTACCTCTGGACAAAGGGCAAGTCTTCTCACTGTCCAACATATTAATGCCTCTCTATACATGCAAGTACATCAAACTTCAACTTGCAGGTATCAGTAACATGGATTCACTACAATAATGTCAAATTTCCTGAGTCACAGGGAAATATACAAGTGTTAATACTCTCCATGCAAAACATATGAATGTTTTAAATGCACAGATGTTTAAGAAAAACAAAATTAACTTATTTTGGTCTCCAATATTTTCTTTTAGGCTCACATGGTTTACGGGATCAACCATTTATTTTAGTACACTCTGAAAAGCTAACGTGTCAACTTTTACTGTTTGGGCATCTCCAAAGTTAATATCCTCACCGTGCACGAGCTGCATCCACTGCAAGAGCCAGAATGTTCCCATCTCCACTGGCCGCACATTCGGTCAGCGCAGCAAGACAACGTTCCGCTAGAGCAGGGTCCCTGCTAGATTTGACCTTATGGAAAAGGTTAGGGAAAGGGAGGATTTAAGTGAACAGAGAATAAGAGAGATCAGGAGATTAAACCCTGATATACATCACATAGAAATTGTTCCATAGTCCTAACCTCAAAAACAAAGGAAAAAAAAGAAAAAGAGAATACTATGTATCCAAAGTCTGATATTCCTTTAATTTATTCTTTTACTCATTCAGTAAACATTTAAGGACTCCCTAAAACAATACTAAATTCTGTTTAACTCTGATAAATCAGAAACAAGCAGGGAAGGAATAAATAATAGTGCCGACCTCCCAAGAAGCACATGCTTCTAGGCTTTTCTAATTTAGCAAGACACTGAAAACAAGTGGCTCTCATATAAGAGAGGAATTTCAAAGGCACTGAAGATGAAGAGTGACAAGAAAGAAAAAAAATAACATTACGATTTAGAAAAGAAGGTGAAAGAGATTAGCCAAAGAACATGTATGTATAACCCATGAACAGAGACAACAGTGTGATGAGGGCCAGAGTGAGGGGAGGGAAGAGTCCAAGTGGAGGTGGGCAAAGGTGGGGGGAATAAGGGACATTTGTAATAATATAAACAACAAATATATATATCTCGAGAAGAAAAGAGAGATAGAGACCATGAGAAATACTGTGATAAAGAAAGAGAATGAAAAGCATGGTCAAAAACTTTTTCCTTCAGGCCCTAGATCTACTGTGCTCTGTCAACACCTGTCTAAAGAAAATTACCTAAAATTCAATTTTTTACAAGTTTTCATCACCTGTAAAAGAGTCTAAAATATTACACTGCTTAATATGACACTAAAATTATATAGTGTCTATAAGCAGAGGTGGGCCAGAAAATATACATTAAGGGCAAGGAAAAAACCCAACTCCATTATTAAATTTCTCTCTCTTGCCCGAAATAAGGCCTATCATCGATTATTGTAAATGGAACCCCTCAAGCTTGAGGATATACAGTTAATAAAAGACTAAAGTATAACAGAAAAGGGGTTTCCCAAATATAATAAATGTTGAGACTTCTGTGATCACTAGAATAAAATGATACATCCTAAAAGGACCTTTTAAAAAATGACACAGTGTAAGAGGAGTCATTATCTCCTGATTAAAGGTGAAAAAGGAAATATCATTAAACATCTCCCATTAACTCTAAGAGAAAAAAAATGCATTCATTCTAAATGGACACAGTCTATTAGATTCTTCAAGAACATTTGAACTGAGAGGGGGGGGGAAAGTTATATCTTAAACAATCACAGGGAAAGTGAACACAGAAAAGCCATTAAGGAATTTCAAGTTTCCTGCCTTACCTCAGAGACCAAGGTAGCTTCATACAATAGAAATACATAGGTTGCAACAGTGAAAATTAATTTGTTTTATCTAGTTTAGTATTTCATACACTTTGGATCACTTCAGTGAGACAGTAGAAATAAAAAGGAAAGACAATACTTTAGTTTCAATCAAAATAAATATAGTTCATTATAAACTGTAACTTACTAAAGCACTACCAAATATATTTTAATTTAAAAAACAACAACACAGGAGTTAAATGACTCATAATAGTATCATGAACCACGGTCTAGAGGAAATAAATTACAGTGGGTTGCAATACTGACCCTGACCTTCGTTGTGTTTTTAACTTAGAGTGAGTTACATAATCACCTGTGCCTTAGTTCTAACCTATAAATGATAAGAGGTATTATTATGGTGTGGTTTTTAATACTAACATATAAGTTTCTCAGAAGCAGATCATGATTTAAAGCCGAAGTTTTTGGTGTCAACAGACTTAGATTTGAGTCTTAGCTGTTCAGTTATTTACACAAGTTTCTCAATCTCCCTTATCTTTAAATTTCCTTATCTTTAAAATGTTGGGAAATAATATTCACCTCATGAGGTTGTTGTAAGGATCAAGCAGGACAATCTAAGGGCTTAACGAGTGCCCAGAACACAGAAAGCACTTAAAACATGATAGCTGTTATTACCTTCTTAAGTTTTTCAATCTGCTTGTTTCTCACTGAAGTATTATCAATCGCCATAACATCCACAGGTTCCTCTTTTTCCAGCTGGTACTTATTTACTCCAACAATTACTTCAGAACCTGTTAATTTCCAAGAGGAAAATAACATGTAGATTCTATTCACAAGTAAATGCCTAATAGTAACAATCTGATTATGTATTTCTCTTATAAGTTTAATATTTTTAAGTAGTCTTCTCACTCTTAATGAAAAACTTCAATATAGATCAGCAAAACCCAATATGGGATGGGGGTGGGAGATGAAAGAACAGGCATATTTCAGAAACTCTGTAAAGGATGATTTTTATTATTCTCCCAAACAATATGCTTTCCCAGAGTTTCTGACAAGCCCTCCTCTAACACTTTTACAAAATCAAAAGTCAGAACAGCTACCATCTAAGATTTATAAGGCAGAGAACACCCAACAGGTTTTCTAATATTTTCTTGAATTCTCTTATGGCCAATCACATTAAAACAAAATTTTTTTAAAATTTATAAATGATAAACCAGAATTACAAAGACATTTCCTTAATATGATAAAGAAAATATTTTGATTATTAGTCTAGCACACAACCCCAGGTTAACTCCTTCATAGAATTTACCACAATTTATAATTACTTTTTTATTTACTTCTTAATTTTTTTCTCTCTTACTAAAATGTAAACACTATGGGCACAGAGGCCATGTCTGTCCTGTTTACAGCTGTATGCTCAGACAAAGCAGAGTGCCTCAAATGCTTAAGACTAAAAAAAGTGTTGACTGACTGACTGAATGAATGATTGAATGACTATTCCAAGGCAGAGTACAATGACTAATAATCATGTCACTTTCCAAATGCTGAAGATACCCATCCACACTCATGTACATGGACATAATGGGCATATCTCCACTCATACTTGCATACTTTGTACATATACTTGTCCATGTGCATCCATGCCTGCAAAAATACGAACACTGAGATAGACAGATAGATGGACTTAGATGAGAAACATTTTACCCAAGTTCTCATTTTTCCGTTACTTTTGTTTTATTAACTATATATGTTATCTTCAAACGGAAATTAATATTTCTTTTTAAATACTGGAATTCACACATGAACATTTCTACTTTATCTTACCAGAATCTATTCTAGCTTGTCTTCGAGCAGCACATTCTTCAATTCGAAGTTTAGGTAGTCCCTCTGCTACAGCTTTGGCCATTCCACCCATTTCTTCAATTTCATTAATGAGCTAATAAGAAAAACAAATTAATAAAATGACAAGAGAATAGGGGACATCTGTCATAGTGTCAACAATAAAAACAAAGTAAAATAATATATATTTTTATAAACTATTCAAATTTATGTTATATAATTACTACTAAATTATTTTAGTGGTAAATTTAATGATTCATAAGAAAATAATTACGTTAACATCAAGAGCATTAATTAGCAATTCTGCAGAGTTAATAATACTGTATTTACTTTGCTAAGAGAGTTGATCTTAAAAGTTCTTACACACAAAAATTTGTAATCCTATATGGTGATGCATGTTAATTAACCTTACTCTGGTAATCATTTATATATAT